GCCATATGATGCGTCAGGCGGCGGCGCGAGCGCGGCGCCGCCGCAGGGTCTGCAGTACTTGGTGGCGGAAGAGGCCGGCGGGCGCTCGCGGCAGAGGTGGCACACTCCTGCGGGATGAGAGCAGTGAGCGCGCACACAGCGCATCCAATAAGCCAAATAAGCAGCTGCCGCTTCCTTTATGCAAGGTATGCCCGTCAATGAGCTGCCAAAGCCAAGATGATGCACCGATGTGCCCCATCCTTCGACAAATAAATCATGCACTCAAACGTACGCCTTGTCGGCGGCCGCGTGGCTGCCTTCAGCTTTGCGCCGACCAGGCAGGGCAGCTTTCTAGGGCGCAGGCAAGCCACCGTAGTCATACCCCACACTGCTGCTTTGGTCTGGGCTGCAGCTCACGTGCGTGCATGCTCACCTGTTTCAGTGGCCTCCACAATTCCCTGGTGCACCCTTTTGGCTGGCTGGGCCGCGCGTCTATCTTGGACTGCCCCATCTGGCCGAGGCACACAATCCGCCACGAATGGGCGCCGAACGTGTACACGTGCCTTACGTACTTTTGCAGACTTCAGGCAGGGCGCGCCTCCTTTGTGGGGCTCCCATCCAGGCTCTTAGCGTGCAACTGCCTCAATTGCTTTCAGGACAAACCTTCCTGCTCCCATCGGTTCCTTCTGCAGACCCCTTCCACCCTTCCAGTCCGCTTTTTCCTAGCAACGCGTGACCCCCCTTCTTAGTGTTAGGTCATCAGCTAATGAACGGCCAACAACACTTATACCATTATTGCTGCCAAGCAAAGGCCTTGCCAGGCATGCTGGATTTCTGCTGGAAGGGATGCTTTCAACGTGACTGGCGTGCCGGTGCAGGCTGCCATAGGCAGGGGGTTTTTTGGCTGCAGGGTTTGAGCGGGCACTGATGCTGATTTGTTTAAATGCCGAGATGGACGAGCTGTGCGCTTACTTAAATGACGCCAATGCAAGGCACCCCCCCCCCTACTTAAAGGCACGCGTTTTGTTCGTTCGGCTGGCAACATCTGCATGCTTGTCAAGCGCCGTGACGCCGACGGGGCGCTTACCCGTTGCGAGCCGCCCGGCGGCGTTTGTTGGGACATTCGCCGGGGCCGCCAGCCTTGAAGATCAAGTAATTTGCCAAACAGGAGAAGGAGAAGTCCGAGCCTCGCACCACACCCAGTGCCTTGCGCAGCCAGATGTGTGGAGGGGGGGCACGCGCCCCAACCAGAAACGGAAACTGATGGGCCGACACAAGCCAAGAAGGCTGAAAGGTTTTTTTTGGAAACGACACCAGTCACTTGAAATCTTTCGAAGATCGACGAGATTTGTAGGTCCACAGTTGCCTCGCCGCCTGGTGTTTCTCCACCTTGGTTTGAGTCATTGTGTCGTCAGCTGCGGGTGGGTGGAATCCCTGAGTGCACCGGTTGGAAAGCAGCTTGTGGGGCGGGTCAGCGAGGTGATTGCCTGACGCCTCCAGCTTCAGGATCCTTGGGCATGCGCACGTTCCCGCCGGCGTACAGACAACTACGCCGTTGTGCAGCAGTGCAGCAACTGCTGCCAGTGCTGCTGCCCTGCAACGTGCGTTGCCAGCCCCAGCTGCCCTAGCTTGCCCCACCACCAGCGCTTCGTGGCGTGCTCTAATCGCATGGCAGGTAGCCACTACGTTTCATGATGTTCACCCGTCCCAGGCGTGGTAGCCGCTGTCACTGAGTCACCGCGACTCTCGGGCTAGTGCCTGTTAATGCGCACACGGATGTTGTATCTATTGAGTTTTGTCGTCTCGACATTCTGTCTGGCTGCGGGGGCCCTCAGCGCCGCGACGGCGCCATGTGCGAGCCCGGCAGCAGTGAAGGAACTGCGGGATGCAGTGGTCGCGCGGCACCAAGGGGACGTCGCTTTCGGCACAGAGTACGGGAACAGCACGCTACGCAGTTCTAATAACACCGTGGTGAGCTTACCGTGTGTGCAGGCGAGTGGCACGCCGCGCTGCAACAGCTGCCGGGCGTGCGAGCTCTTGCCGCGAAGGCGCCAAAACGGCCGTGCGTGCTGCAGCGGCACTCTGGGGCCGCCGTCCGACAGCAGAGCAGTCTGCCGAAGACAACGTTTGGCAGCAGAAAGGCCTGCCAAACACAACATCAACAGCAGAGAGTTGTGCCGAAACCAACATTGACAGCAGGAAGCTCTGCCAAACACAACAAGAGAGCCCTGCGCATCCCGCATCCCTTTCAATCCAAGGGTGTTGCCCCTCCCCCCCCCTCCACACTGCGGCCGGCCGCGGCCCCGACCGCCCGCCCGCCCCCGGCAACTGCCGCACTGCAGGCGGCCGAGGTGCTGTCGCAGCTCAACGCCGCCGCCCGCGCGGTCAGGGCGCTGCCCCCCGCCGCGAGCGCCCGCTGGGCCGCCGCGCTCGCGCCGGCCAAGGCCAGCGTCCAAACGGCAATGCAGGCGCAAATCCAGGCTGCCGCCGCCGGCGACTTCCCAATACCGACGCGTGCCGCGCCAACCGGGGTGGTGGTCGGGCAGGTGGTAATCCCCTGCGATGACACGGCCGCGGGTGACGCACGGCGGTACATCCCATACCTCGCGCTTCCCGGGGGCGCCGCGGCGCCTGCAGGCGGCGGGACGCCGGGGGCGCGCCGCAATGCAACTGTAGTGGCGCAGCTGCCACTGTGGTTCGACCCGTCAGCGGTGCCGGGCGCCCCGCCGCAGCGGCCCACGCCCGCCCCTGCCGCCGCACCGCCGAACGGGAGCCAGGCGCCGGCCGTCGCACAGGCGCAGGCGTCGTGGGTGGACGACCCACGGCCGCGGCAGGCGCCGTACGGCCCCATCCCTGGGTTTCTGCTCCCCAAATCTGTCAACCCACGTCTCGGGGCGCAATCCCAAATCTACCATCTGCGGCTGCGCAGCTGTGAGCGGGCACTGGGTCGCGATGCAGCAGCACGCTTGTGCGGCACAGCATCCGATTGTGTTGGCGCCGAGAGCACCCAACGCAAGGTATCTGCAGAACGCGATGCATGTACACCGTTGCAAGGCACTACAAGACATGCGTCAATCGCAGGCCGTGCTCACACATGCGCCAGCCCCGTCGCCGCGCTCACCCGCCTCCGCCCCTGCCCCCGCCTGTGCCGACGCCGTCGCTGCCGCCGCCGCCACCGCGCGCCCCGCCGTCCGCAGTCGACAGCAACACAGCGGACGAGTGGCTGGCGCTCTACCTGCAGTGGGTGTACAGCCTGGACGGCTTCGCGCCCAAGACGGACGCAGCCGGCCGCGCGGTCCTCGACGCCGGTCCGGACGTGAGGACGCCCAGGGGTTGTGGAGGAGTGGCCCTTTCGCACCCGGGCAGCAGTAATGCGGTTTGTGTTGTGCGAGCAGGCGCGGGCCCGGCTGCTCGGCCTACTTCCTTGAACCCCACAGCAAGCGACTTCGGCCCCCGCACACCCTGGAAAATGAATTGTTTAATCC